GCAGCCATGACATGCCCAAGATCATGTCGAACTTGGTGTCCAAAATATCGAAGGACACGGCCTCGCTTGCATGCGGGGCAAAGTACACGGGGACAATATCAATGCACCGGTCGATTGACTTGTGCGTGTGACCGTCGGCCAACGTGACTTGCGTGGGCTGCGACTTCCTCCGAACGTGTGGCCCAAGGCCAGCGCGTACCATAAAGTCTTGGCTCATGTAGTTGCGAGTAGCTCCGCAATCGATCAAAGCGCTGCAGGTCGCCTCTCCGATCTGAATGCGTATGTACAACAATGGCGCGTCGATGTCGTCGTACCGTTGCGTCTTGAACTCGCGGTCGATCTTCGCAATGTAGGCGTGAAGGTCGACAAGCTCTACTGTGGCGTCCGTCTACGAAGTTGGTACTGTAGTGTGCAAGTAATCCCGCAATTGTGCCATGAGCACGTTGCAATGCGGTTTCGACAATCGACCGGACGGGGGAAGGGGCATCCATTGGAAGTCCGCAAACCCCAACGGGTTGAGCTCTTCAAGTCTTGACCATGTTGTCGAATCCCCGACAATAGATGGCGGCGAAGTTGCCGAATCGGTTGCCGATGGTAGTGAAACCGTGCATGCGGTGGATTGTTGCTTGTGGAGTGGTTGGTCCAACGGTGGGACCAAGTGGACAGCATAATCCTCGCAAGTGAACCGAGGACTTGCGACATTCGCATCCTCCCCAGATGTGTAGGAGGCCGCTAGCAAGGCGGTCGAATCTGGCGGAGTGAGAGGTGGAGTCGCCTCATCTCCCGCGCAACTCAATTTCCCGAGTTGATGTGAGGCCGAACGTCCTCCTTGCCTTGATCCAGGCATTGGGAGGTCTTGTGCTTGGTGCTGTTGCACCAATAGCAGCAGCCATACCGGCCGCGCCACTTGTATTTGGCCTAAGGTGTTGGCTGTCCGTTTCCGGCCGGTGATGCGGTTTTCGCCTTCCCTTTTCCTCGGGAGTTGTTGTTGCTTCGCGGCTGGACAGCAGCCACCTGATCTCCCTCACGTGATGCTTGGGTGGCTGCCGGGTCTTCCACAATGTTGTCCGGTTGGACTGCAGCGACTTGCTGCGGACGCGGACCAAATTTTCCTTTCTCCACATACGTTGGCTGCCATGCCGACTTCTCGTGTGCAGCTGCCCTATTGGTCTTGATGAAGTTGTAATTCAATTGTCATGACGTTGAATATTTGGAATCGTTGATTACAACGAGTAGGATCCTCAGAGGCTATATGCCCAACAACCATTCTATCTCTCTGGTTGAAGATATAGTTCGATGCCATTAGGAAACTCTCCCTTGCCTTGTCGATAATTTCGGCGAAGGCCGCGTATTGCTCACGATCACCAAGTGCAAGGCTCAAGGCGGCACATGACCGGTTGTAGAACTCCCGGCGCAGATGCGAAAATGGCAATTCGAGATCGGGCGTCGCCGCGGTCTTTTGCCATTCCGTGAGCCAGTCGCGTGTCGATGTGTTGCCTTGCGTCATAGCGAAGAGGCGGTTGATGGCGAGTGCCGGGGCGTCGTCCACGATGAACCGCTTCTTCCATAGCTTCGTCAGATCTGCCCAAGGTATCTTCGTGTGCAGATCGGCGACGTTGACGCCGTGGATGGTTGCCAGGTGGCTAAGCCAGATCTGGCATCCGCCCTTTGAGTTGAGGAACAGCGCGCTGATGTACGAGTGCTCGGGGACGAAAAGAATCCGAAGTTCCGTCGTAAAGCCCTCCCACCAGGGGACCGGGTCTTGATGCGTATAATCATCGAACTTTTCGATGCGGAATGTCGGCATCTTGTAGTGCTGCGTGGTGTTGCCATCCTTGTTGGGCAGCTGGTGCAGCTGCTGAACCTCGGTCTTCAAGGTGTCTAGCTGCTTGCTGATGGTGGCTGGTGCAGCGAAGGTGCTGATGTCGCCGAGCATTGCGACGACGTGGTCAACTCGTTCCTCCAATTGGCGGGTAGAGGGKGTACTGCTGGACTCGCCAGCATCTGGTCTTGGTGCAACTTGCTCCAAGTCCTGTACACGGGAATCAAGTGCCCGTGTAGCATCCTCGTGCAGATCCTTGTGGTTCCGCACCGCCCGTCGGAGATTCACCAGCTCAGACGGCAGGTGGTTACAAGTGTAAACCAACCGGGTCATGAGTTTGGCAAGGAACTCCTTGTGCTGTTCCTCCGGTGTCGCGTCTTCGTGCTGCTCAGATGGTTCAAAATGCCAGAACTTGAGCTTTTTGATGCTGGTGGCTTCATGCCGCTGTAGCAGATCCTGGGCCTCCTTGCGGCGTGCCTGGGTATCTGCTTCTGCTTCGGCTTGAAGCCGCTGCTTTTCAGCTGTTGCTGCCCGCTGTCTGTACTCGGCAATGGACTCATTGGCCAGTTGGCCTGGCATGCCCAGAACTGAGACCGTCATGGTGGCAGGGCACTGCTGACGTGGCGCTGCTGCTGACATGGCACTGCTGACGTGGTACTGCTGACGTGGCACTGCTGCTGACGTGGCACTGTACCAAACTGTGAATGCAGGCAAAGGGTTGGGTGGGAGGGAAAACGCCGGTAGGTAACCAACCAAGCTATACTTTCCTCCTGGTCCTAATCAACAGAATAAAATAAAAAAATAAAAGAAGCGGATCACCGTCATTTTTTTTTTTTTTTGTGTGTATATCTGTCAATCTGTTATGAGTAAGGCATGTCAGAGGAGTACTATGAGCCAGATCTAGGCCAGATTCTGCAAAGTTTCGGCTTTCACAAAAATGCAATCTTGAATTTTTTTTTGCGAAATAGAGTAGAGATGCGATTTTCAGAAAAGAACTAAATCTAATTTCTGAGAATATGACAACCTCCTAATATGCCTAAAAACGAAATGCTGATAGGCTTCGCAAGATTTCGGTTTTCAAAAAAAATTTCCGAGATAGAATGGAGGTTCAATTTTCAGAAACGAATAGATCCAGTTTCCGAGAATATGACCACCTCTATCGTTTAATATGCCTAGAAAACGAAATGCGGCTGCTAATATCCGAGAAACGAAATGCTACTATCAGGAATTTTCAGATAAAACGAAATGTGATTGTCAGAAATTTTCAGATATTTGTTGCATGAAAACGAAATACTAATATCAGAAATTTTCAGGTAAAACGAAATGCGATTATCAGAAATTTTCAGATATTTGTTGCAAGAGAAAAAAAAATTCAGAGATTTGACGAAGTCCTACTTGATTTACTAACGAGTAATCAATAGATCAAGCAAGCTGGCTACTTGATTGAGCGGGTCCTCTGATTGAGAGGTCCGCTCCGATACCAAACTGTTGCATACTGTAAAGGTGCAGACCAGAACAAGAACCGACCTCTCTCACAAAGTACAAGACAGCGTAGCGGAAGACTTAGATACCAATGTTCCGAACAATCAATGTTGCAATGCAGCCCCAACACACATCATCATCATTCCATAGTGGGAAGGGGCCTGGCGCTCACACAGAAAGAATGCGCCAGTCCCCGCCATACACAGACGAAGAAGAGGGGGGTTAGACAAAGAAGAGGGGAAGATGGGAATGTCGTCAACACCAAGTCTGCGATACAGGTCCTAAATAATCCCCGTCAAATGTCTGAATCCCAATGTCGAGTCTGGATCCAATGTCGTCAAGTCTCAAGTCACAACTCTCTCTCTCTTGTAGTCCGCAGATACTGAGAAGTCAGGTAGTGAGAGGGTGAAGAAGAGACGGTGGACTTAGAAGAGGAAGAAGAAGAACTCTCTTCTCTCTGTCCGGTACTAACCTGTGAAGCTGGCGCCTTGATGCAGGTACCTCGAAGATGGAGCTGGAGCTATGGCGCCACAGGTAAGTCTCACTGGCCTCCGCCAGCCATCTCTCTCCAACACTACTACTACTAGCGCTCTGCGCTGAAGACTACTACTGCAGCTACTAGCGCCCAGCGCTGAAGACTACTGCTAGTGCTAACGCTACTCCTGCAGCGCTCCTCCAGAGTGCTGCGGCCGAATCCTGAAGACTGCCTCCTGCCTTCTGTCCTCTACCTAACCCGTGAAGTGCATGGGAACTCCCTATGTACTACTCGGCCTGCCTCCTGACTGCCTGCAGCTGCAGGGCGGGGCAGTCCAGGAGGCTGCTCTTGCGAATGCCGAAGTCAGCCAGGGCCTGCCGCTGCAGCTCCTGCTGAGGCTGTTGTGGGAACTGGCCAGAAATAGCCTGTTTTCCGAAACTCTGGTTTGGTGCCCGAGTGTTAGGGCAGGTCGATCTTATGAGGGCCCGAAAGTGGCCGTCCGTTTCAGGCTGAAAAGACTCAGGGCCTGGAAGGCCCTGTTTTAGACATAGGGCCTGCAGGCCCTCGTTTTCAGGCTTTCAGGCTGAAACGACACGGGGCTTGTAAGCCCTTGTTTCTAGGCATTTAGGCTGAGACCGCGGGACGGGCCCTGCAGGCCCATGTGGCTGCGGAGTATGCCACAGTGCGTGTGTGCGCTCGCGCGCGCGTGCGCCTGTGTGTGTATGCGCACGAGCACACTCGGACACACGCATGCACACACACACACAAGATCCTTGATCTCTCTCTCTCTCTCTCTTCTGCGCGCTGCCCGGCTGCTTCCCATCTCTCTCTTTCCTCTCTTTCTCTCTCTTCCACATGTATGCCCGCGCCAGCGCCGTAATGCCCTGCTGCTTTCCACCACTGCTTTTCCCCTCTCTCTCTCTCGCTCTCTCTTCCCATCCAGAAAGCCGTTTTTATCAAGGCTATTGGAGATGATTCTGACGATGTTTTGCGCTAGATTCATGGAGCCTGAAGGCTATTTGGGGATGATTCTGAAAATATTTTTGCGCTAGATTTGTCGAACCGACCCTCCACCATCCCCAACCCCCCTCCCCAACCTGTCACACAATTTTTTTTAATTTTACTTTTTTTTTCCCAACCGACCTGAATTTTGTTTAGGGGGTCTGTGCAAGGTGTGCGGGCACCCCAATTTTTTTTTTCTTTTTCTCGGCTCTAAATCGTCAGAAAAACAGTTGTCAACTACCCCGCCGACTGTCTCCCGCAGATGTTAGGGCGACATCTCTGGATCGGACAACTTGCAGCCTAGCGTTTATGGGTTAAAGTGTAAGTGGAGATGTTGGTAAGGTGGGGGCGGGGGGGGGAGAGAGAGAGAGAGAGAGAGAGAGAGAGAGAGAGAGAGAGAGAGAGAGAGAGAGAGAGAGAGAGAGAGAGAGAGAGACTTCTTCTTTCCCTTCAATATGACATTATGATTCATTTTTTAGCATTCTGCTTTAGTTCTCGTGCATGTTCAAGCAAGGATCTTAACACAATTGTCTTGCCATCCATCTCTGCAGTCTTTCTTAGCTTTAAGATTCTACCATCCTGCGTGCCACCCGTCTTTCCTCTGCCATTGTGTGCTTGTGTGTGTGTGTTGAAATGCACAATCTTGAATCTTCTATCAAGTTAAAATGATTGTAATGTTTTGATGAAACGTCCTCCTCATCGTGGTGTGTGTGTGTGTGTGTGTGTGTGTGTGCGTGTGTGTGTGTGTGTGTGTGTGTGTGTGTGCGTGTGTGTGTGTGTGTGTGTGTACCTCTCCCTCTTCAGGCTTGGGGAAGACTGGATGGCAAGCGCCCGAACAAATAATTCACAGGAAGCGGACTCAAGCAGGAGATATGTTCACTCTTGGATGCATCCTCTTCTTCTGTATAAGTGGTGGGCGACACCCATTCGGGGACAAGTACGAGCGAGATCGAAACATTATTGATGGGGCTCCCAACCTTTGGCCTATTGGCCACTTGCCAGAAGCAATGGACCTTATTGGGGATCTGCTCCATCCAGAGCCCTCTGAGAGGTAACTGCATGTCTCCTGTTTGTGTGCAGAATGTTTTTTTTCTTCCCTTATGCACTTGGGACTGGGCATCGATGGATTGATATGCCTTTCAGAGTCATTCAGATTGCCTTGGCTTTCACTTCGCCATCATTGATTGGATGACAAAAATACAATAGGTCCAAGCATGAAAGCACTGCAATACGAAGGGGAACCGCTGTGTGGAACGTTTTTTTTTTTTTCCATGTATAGAACTCGATGATAATGGAAGGCAATTGTTAAAGGCAATTCTTTTACACTGAGTGAAACATCATCGTCTGCAAGACAATGCCCGAGATTGACAGCAGAATGGCAAAGCACATAAGAAGACTTCATGCAGAACAACACTCTCTTCCCATTATCTGGAAGTGTATTTTCAAGTTTCAACGTAATAATTCAACTGCAATGACTTGCTGATTTCTGCTGCCGAGATCTGACTGCGAGGTTGTACAGTCGTGTCTTAGGGACAGATTCGTAATTTGTTTGTGGTAGGGACTAACCGTGAGTTCAGTCTGAGGGAAATTCAGGAGGGACAGATCTGTAAATCTGGGAAAATGACACTCCCAGTAGGGTCATGAATCGCCTGTAGTACCCTCACTGCCTCTAATAGTACCGGGCTATCACTAGGACAGCAGGCCCAGTGGGCCATGGGCTATAGCGATGGGCTCAGCCGTATAGCCGGATGGGGTCCAGGCCGAATAGGCCAAACTGAAACGGTACCAGTCCCAGTAGGTCTAGGTCTAGAGCAGGCTAGTCTATTAATAGGACTGAGCCGGTGGTGCAAGGAAAATAAGCAACAGCGAGATGACAAATCCAGATTACACCATCACATTGAAAGCCAGACAGTCACACTGTGTCCAGAGAGCAGCATTGCACCAATAATACACTAATGGAGGTTCGTAGTACTGAAAACCAACGTCAAGGAGAGCTTTCTCTCTCCGCCAACAACACAAGAGTCCACTCCCTTCTCACTCCTACTTGGCACTCAGCGCCCAGCCTACTCCTACACAGCTACGATTGGCCTACTAATAGACAATGCAACTGTTGACATCAGCGGCAACCCGAAGTACTTGAAGATGTCACCCAAATGCAGACCATCGCCAATACAAGGTATGTGCCCTCACATCATCGTCATCATCATCCTTCACCCTTCCCTAACTTTACACCCACGTCTTCCTCCCTTACACCCGAAGACCACACATGCGCCTCACTGTAGTCCAAGCCCACCAGCTATGGTGGCTGGGCTATGGCG